AAAAAAAAAAAAAAAAAAAAAAAAAAAAACAGTTTACTCAAATTCAATTTGATTAGCCTGGTAAGTTTGAAATATAAGTAAAAAGTTACGGAAAAGAGACAAGAGAATGCCACAAATTTTTCCATCTGAAAGCTATAAACTTTATTTTTTGTCGGTATATGTGAAAAAAAAAATCTTAAAGAAAACCGAAAAAACAAAATGTCTAAGTTATTGATTGAAATGCATTTAAACATATGTTTGATAGCTGTACAGATGAATGAGCGGATCGATAGGCTGAATAAAACTATAGACTAGACTATAGACGTTCTAACAGCTTAACGCTTTTTTATCTGAATCGTTTTCATAATTGAAATACCAAAAGTAAACATTGCTTTTTTTAATTTATTTATTTTTCTTTTACTTTACAACAACCAACTGACTAGTCAGTTTTTTCACTAACTTTTGGTGAGGTTTAGATTTTTGCTATTTGCAGTCATAAGTAGATATATTTATTCATAAACACGATTTCAATTTTATATGGTAACAAAGCTATTATTCTTCTGCCTTTTTCCTTCTTCTTCGCCCAGTTTAATGAGAAACTTGTTTCAAAAGTTGCTGTTGACTTACATAGGGGCAACAGTATTTACTGATGACACCGCGAGTTTATTTTCAACTTTATACTCATTGACGATGTTTACGTTTAGAATAGAAACCTAACGATATTTTAAAAAATTGCAGCTATTTTCTGTTTGAACAAGAAGGAAAAATTTTGTGTTCACAGTTTTATGCAAAGAAAAAACACACAAATAACAACATAGGAATAAAAGTGATATGTCTGTAAATAGTGTTTAACGGGAAACTCCACTCCTGAACTCGTGTTGTTTTGCCTCATCTTTAGTATCTTGTTAAAGCTAACGTTTCATCTGGTAAATTAATTCCAGCTGAGAAACGTTTACTGAATTAGCCTAATTTACAGTCATATAAACTCAAAGTTTGCTCTAAAAAATTCTGTGTATAACCTGGTTTAATAGACGAGCAAAAAAAAGTAGCATTAGCAAAAAATGTGAAAAATACTTATTTTTAAAAACAGAGAAAAAAATGCACCAATAATAAATGTTTTTGCTAGCAATGAAAAAAGTTGAAAAGACCAAGTTTAGGGCTTCATATCAGCTGACGCTACACATGAAGGCGTTATAATCTTCAAAAGACTTTGGAATAGCACAACATTATGCCAGTACATTATGAGATCAAAGATGAGAACAAATTAATAATTTTAATGCTCAAAACTAAAATTTCTTATGACATTTTTCACTTTTTCAACAACTCTTTTGAACGAGAAACGTCTTCTATTTGTACTGTCGTTTTCGTCTTCAGGCAATTCAGGTTTTATTTCTTCACCAAGCACAGATTCTGTTTCATTAATAGCATCAGCTACTTCGACACAACCAGCTTTTCCAAACCAAGGTACCTAAAACATCAAGTTCTACAGTTTGCTAAATTAGCTGTATGGTTACTTTTTTTGTAACTATCTTACTCTGTGGTCAAAGTAACGGCGATGATCGTCGACGTATTTCTTATACTGTTCAACTTCAAAATTAAGACTATCGCTGCAGATAAAGTCCTCGTTTCTTGGTTCACCAACACATTCAAAATATTCAGCGTTCGAGCCCATTCCCGTCGGATACCTGCATAAAAAAAAAATACTTTAGAAATTTTTAATTATATGTAAAAAGAATAAGGAAAAAATTATAAGCATCATTCAGAGGTTTACCAAATTTCTGTTCCATGATGATAAGAATGGCCTGGAACTGTGGGGTCACATTTTTTACTATTAGTCCTTCTCGTCTCAATGTCGTTCTTATTTTTTTTGCAAGCTGGTAAATGAGGAACAATATCAATTCGGTGTACAATGCGGAAGCTTAAAATTTTTTGATAAAATATTCTTAAAAGCCTCGTTTTTCATCAAATAAGAAAAATTAGAGCGTCAGGTTAGACGTGGAACTGCCAGTATAGCTATTTACCAGTACGGAATCAGTTCATCAAATTTAAAAGCATAGTCTCGATCTCCAACTCTAGGTTGTCCAAATGTGATAACTTTGATTTGATCTTTATTACGATGGCCGTCTAGTATAATTTTCATTGCTGCTAAAGATGCCAACGCACCACCTAAAAATAAACCTAATAAATAATGTTTTCAAAATTTTTAATTTTTTTATTGCACTATTGTCTTTACCAATTCAAAAGTCAAACCTAATGAATGCCCAGTCAGTGTGATTGAGTAGCTGCTGAAGTTTGAATCTGCGACAACCGGTTCGATAAGAGGCCATAAGGTTAATAAAGCGCCATGAAAATAACGATTCACCTAAAATTACAGCAAAAAAATATTTGTCGTTGATGAATTTAGTACTGCTAAGATGGAAGAAATAATTTTCAAAAAATTATAAACTAGTGAAGGTAATATAACCTTTCCAATGCCATAAAAGTCAACTCCAGGTTGTATTCCTTGCCAACCTTCAGTAAGCAGCTGTTTCTTTGTTCGTGTACCTCGAAAAACGATAATTATCTGTTTTAATGCATCAGATCTCAAAATATATCCCGAACAAAGACTGCTGATTATATCGCATACTGATGACAGCTCACTGTATAAGATCCAACCCTCTTCAGCTGCTAATGTTCTGCAAAAAAAGAACAGAAACATTGAACAAGAGTTGAGCTTAACAAATTGTTGTTAACAGATTTGTCAGTTATCAAAGGATTGACAGTAATTTGTTATATGTTGATAAATTTCAGTTTTTTGTCTCCAACTCTTCTATATATTTCAACTATAATATTGACCAGCAAAAAGAGTGAGAAATAATCTATAAAAATTTTATAATTTTTAATTCTTTTCTTTTTTTAAATTTTTTTGTATAGTTATGTTAATAAAGGCGAAAGTACAAAAATCGAATTAACCAAATGTATTATAATTTATGTAAAAATAACTTTTCAAAGAGGTTTTCTACTTGCTATAAAAAATTATTAGTTAATTCATCTTTGAACAATTTATTCTAACAAATTCACCAGCTGGCTGTAAATTGAACAAAATATTATCTAAAAAACCTATTTATGATGACAAAAAAAGGTTTATATTTTTTTTTATTTTTTAAGTTTAATGCTTAAACAAAAATTTCAGCAAAAAATTAGCCTTGTAACATTAATAGCTTATCAACATGTCGAATACGTTTTTCTATAAGTAAAACAAAAAACTAAACTGTTTACTTTTCTTATGTATCTAAAAAATATAAAATAAAGTAAAAACGAAGAGACTCTAAAAAAACCGACTTATTCACACAGATTTCTGGCATTTCAGAATATGCTCCAGCTGCCAAATTCAGCAACATACGAGCTTCAGTTTCATTATACTGAGTTTTTCCACCATAGCAACTGTATGCGGCAGACAGTATCAGAAGAATCCAAAGCAACATCACAGAAAATTTTCAACAACTTTAAAGCCAAAAAATCTGCTAATGTTGTTGAAGTTTGAAGTACCAAGCCTAAAAAAATACAAAGAAAAGTCAGACTTTATTGTTATCTAGCAACGTCTATAATCGAGAGCCATTAATTGTCACATGTAATTTTAATGACACTTTTAACATTCTGCACTATATTTTACAGTGTAAAATTTATTAAAAATTACCAAAAAATAACTGCCAAAACTTTAATGATTTATTGCACGAATTTCTGATAGTCAAAAAAGGCGAACTGTCAAAGAAGAATTGTTGAGTAACTGCTGTTTTTTGACTAAAAATTATAATTGTTTAACAGACAAAGGCAAAACCCATTAACAAAATCTGTTCAATTCTTAACCCTACACCCGTCTTCACCACTATATTGTCATCGCCTTAGCAACGAATTTCCAATGTGTATTATAGAGTAGAACAAAATGCTGTAAAAGAAATTTAGTATTTTCTATAATTTCCAAGACAAAATTTTTACAAATTTTACTTTTGAATCACAAAGCATTGTTAAGGCAAAAGAAGCATTAAATTTGCAGCAGAATTTATTCTTTTCTAACAAGAACAGCTTTAAAATACAAGAAAAATTTACACACTTTTGATGGTCTTTTTTTTGCAGTAGTTTTGAAAGCAAACAGTTGAACTGACCAATTTTTTTACTGCTAACGATCAACTTTGACCGTTTTATTAGGACAGTGTAAAGATTGCTCATAGAGAATAACGGTAAATGACTATCAAACATGGTAGATATATTGCAAAAAAACTAAAAAAAACAAAAGTCACAGAAAGATCAAAAAATAAACTGACAACAGAAAATAGTGACACTTTTATACAGTGGCAAAACGGAACAAATTCAACGAACAGAAGGGATTAAATGTGGCAACACAGTGATCATATGTAACAACACTTAAATTTCTAAAAAATATCGAAAACAAAAAAACACTGTAATGTTTTTATTCATCAATTATTCAATTTTTTGAGTCTATGATTCATCAGTAAATTTTAAAAACAAAAAATGGTTATTAAATAGTCCGAAACAGGTAATTTTCATACAGAATTTTCAAGCAAAAAATTCACTTTTTTTTTGACCTTACTTAACCAGACTTCGAGCCAGTTCTTTTTCTTTTCTATATCCTGCAAAACTTACGTAAATGAAACAACGTCAAAGCACCTATTCTTACTCTCTCTCAGAAAAAATAAATAAAAGTAGGAATTAAAAAAGCACTTATTACAAGAGTCTGGAAACTGTAGATGAATAGTCCGACGTTGAGGTGCATGCAATACTGATAATATAACATTGAACTTACAGTTACAGAAAATTTATTTGCTACAAATCGAACATAGATTTGGATGA